ATCAGTTGTTTTAATTGTCATATTTGAATTCAGCACATCAAAATACACAATAAATAGCACATTTTATCTCTGAAGCAGACGACTTCTCAAAAATTGTAGACCAGTGTAATTAGTCTGTCATTGCATGCCATATGCACAAGGAGGCAGAATTGAGATTGCTCATACATTCTCTACCATATTCAGTCTTGCAACTAATCTTTTTTCTTAATGTAGACTTCAGTATGGAACAAAAAATTAAAATGGAGTTGAGCCCATGTACTAAACCACTGCGACACTAAATATTGTCTTTGTACATGGATCCGATTAGCATAATGAAATAGAGGAGAGGTGAAATGAGGCACTTTATGATAGGAGTTACTGTATAGTTCTTGAAGACGAGAGAAATATGCATGAAGAGTGTGAAGATGGGAATTGGGAGGCGATTCAGGGACAGATCAGTGGGTTGGAAATAATAAGTGGAAAGCTTAGTCATGGTTAAAAGGAGCGTTGAGTTCTTGCTGGATAGCTCTTGAGAAGATCATAAGTGAACACTTGGTTTCATCCTACTCCCAAAAGAACACTCTTGTATGTCACAGGCCTGTCCTCTTCACCACACCCACAAGCATTGTAGGTGTAATTAGCAGCATCTACTCAGGATACACATGAAGCTGGCATAGCTAGGAATCTGGTGGTCAGGATTCAGGTGCATTCTTAGATGTTTGTAAGCAACTAGCCATGTGGCACCTGGTTCTAAAATTTTAATGAGTAAAACGTTTATTTAAACATTAAAAGTGTGCTGCTTCTTTGAAAAGCGTAATAAAAATTATGTTGTAGAGATCAGTGTTGTTTCTGTGTCCATAGTGTTAGTTTTCAGGTGAAAAAGATGTCTTCCAACTATCAGTTTTGCTCTAAATCAAGTTTGGGTTTGTTTATCCTCACATGTAATAAAGGTTCTGATGGCCAAATTAGGCTATCCTTTAATCTTATACAATCCCATTAGTCAGTGAGTTTGTATTGGTGTAACTTAATTAGTAAAATACTTATGAATTTCTGTTTCTAACAACAAAAAATACACAGCTATAGGGCTGTGTGGTATAAATGGAACACCAAATATGACCAGCTGTTTGTACCAACCAGTTCAGACTCCTCCTGTTTTACTCTACCACATACGCGCAAGTGAACTCTGAGAAGATGCTGTCTTTTAAAATGTGCAAAAAAAATGTTTTTTGGTCACATTCTCTCATATATTGGACAGGCAGCATGGTCCAGTAGATAGGTCCCCCGACAGGGATCAGGAGACTGGGGATTCTATTTCTGGCTCTACCACTGACTTGCTGTGACCTTGGACAAGTCTGTTTCCTTTCCCTTGTGTGTCTAAACTGCAAGCTCTTTGAAACGGACAGTCTGTGTGTTTGTATAGCACCTGGCACAGTGGGGTTCCAATAAATAAATAAACTTGATATTAGTTCTAGTTAGTTCAGTAATACAAAAGGAGTCATTCAGAAATATTCATCACATTATCAAAGTAAATTGTGACTGCTATTGAACCAAGTCAAGTTTTTGTAGAAAATTCAGGTACTGCAAGTCATTTCTGGGAGTCCAGTGCTTGTCTAATGCTGTAAACTCATTTTTTATTATAAATAAAGGTAGTGGCAAGAGTCTTACTATTTGAAAGGTCACGGTATGAAATCTGATCAGTTTTAAAAATAAGTTTAAAGTAATTCTGGCATTACACCTGCCCTGAAGCACTCCCCATCTTTTCCCTCTCCCCCCTCTTCCCCCCCCCCCCCCATCAATCTCTATAGACTTGTTTTTGTCCATATATTGTATGGGTTTTTCTTGTTCACAAACTTTTAAAGGGGAAAGTGACTATATTTGGGTGGGAGGGGAGTGAAACTGACTACACAAAACGCTGGCAAATACACATAAAAGTAAAAAAATTAGATTTTTTCCCACTGAGTCTTTTTTTTTTTTTTTAATAGTAATTTAGGCATATGTAACAAGAGTAGGAGAGAAACTGTGCAGACAGAATGGAATTCTTAGTCAGTGTCCCTGTAATCCAGTAGAGTTGAGGGTCAGAGCACAGGACTGGGACCAGGGCTCTTGGGTCTAAATATACATTCTGATATGGATTTCCTCCTGAGCCTTGGGCAAATCATTATTCCAAAAATTAGACATCCAAATCTATACTTAAGTACTTAAATAAAAGGCTTGTCTCCTTTGGAGCTGGTGAGCATATTGAAAAATCAGGCCACTTACTTAGATTCCCCTTCTGTTAAATAGGTGCCCAAGGAGTGTTGTAAGGATTAACTAATGAATGAGAAGCATTTTAAAGATAAGTTGCATATTCACATAATAAGCACTTTAGTAGAGTACTGGCATATCCTATGTGCACCTAATTCCTGTATGATGTCCTTTCAAGTGAATGGAAAATTAGGCCACAATTGGTCTGTCAACTGGCCATGCAGAAATCTTATTACCTAGGTGTTTAATGTGAGGTCCTGTGTACAGTAAGTAAACTTGAACCAGCTTTCCTTAACATATACAGGTCCTAACTGAATTGTCAATTAAATGAAGTATTAGCATTGGAATGGTAATACTGAGGTTTTAAATTTACAATTCACTGACACGAGTGGGTAGACAAGACAAGAAACTTCATTCTAAAAGTTAACGCTTAGGTTCTGAAGAAAACAGTAAAATTTGGTGAAATACCCTAACCCTTTTAATTTGCCCCCCCCCCCATGAGTAATGCAGTTAGTGCAAACTCATGTAAGTAAATCATCTTTCTTTTCTTTTCTTTTTTTTTTTTTTTACGGAAAGTTCATCACTATTTCCAATCTATCCTGGAGATGTGAGCATTCCTACTTTTGATAAAGCCCTCTTTTTTTCAACAGGTTTGACAATTCAGCGATCAGAATTACATTCTTGATCAAACTCCTACCATTAACTTGCAACCAACCAATCAGACAATGCCAGCTTTGTGACTCAAACCAGTAAGATCTCTTCCTGCGACTTCAAACCCTCCCATTCCTCCCCCACCCCCCGCCACTTGCAGTCTGAATGAGCATCAGAAAATGACTCCTGATTTGGCAGTCACACCAAAATTAAGTTTAACAACATAAAATCTAGAAAAAATGAATAGTGGGGGAAAAGGGGCTGTTGTATAAATACAAGTCCCCAGTCAGTAGCTTTAGCCTATTTACACAGAAAAAGGGTCCACAAATTTTCCTTTTGAGTAACCAGGTCTTTCCTCTGCTATCAGATGTGACTCACTTCACTCTGTTTTCTCTGAACAAATGGTTAATTCAGATTTTTTTCCATTTTCAGTCTTTTGCTTCTCAAGTTGCTTCCTCTCCCTATCCTCCTGGGCTTGGCTTGTTGAACTCAGTTAACCAAAGTGCGATTTTTTTTATTTATTTATTTTTTTATTTTTATATTTTTTAAATACATTTAGGCAACTTGAACTGCAGTTAAGCAGGTCTTCTAGCCCTGCCCTCTGTTTGTCAGGTGTTTCAGGATGACTTTTGCTAGTTCTGATCATCCTTTCTACTGTAAAGGGGTTTTGGTGAAGCCTGGTGGACAAATCGAACCCATCATTGCTGGCGTTGTTTCTGTCTAGCCTTTTGTTTTTAAATAATGTATTCTTTCTGTCTGCTTGAAGGCCAAAGAATGTGGTCAGATGCAGAATAAATGGCTCATGATTAACATCCAGAATGTGCAGGACTTTGCATGTCAGTGTCTCAACCGTGATGTCTGGAGCAATGAGGCTGTGAAGAACATTATTCGGGAGCATTTCATTTTTTGGCAGGTGAGAGGCTAATAGAGATACGTTGAAGGTAGAAATTGATGGGAGTGAGGCAACAAAAACAAGCCTCTTGTAGTTTATAAACAAAACAAAACCCAGTGCTCTCTAAGAACTGCCAAGAAAGATTGAATTGTGGATTTAATCTCACATTACCGAAATGAGTGTATATTAAAACAATTTTAAAAGCCAGGTGTTCAAAACTAGCCTTTTTGGGTCTATGACCTTTCTACGCTAACAAAATCCACTTACTAATGTTTGGACGAGTTAATGGGAATTGTGTACATACAAAGTGTAGAGTATATGGTAAAATAAAGACACATTTTGTTCAGTTTTGAGGCATTAACTTTTTTCAAATGTGGTGTTCTGTAGGTATACCATGACAGTGAGGAAGGACAGAGATACATACAGTTTTATAAACTGGCAGATTTCCCTTATGTCTCCATTCTGGACCCCAGGACAGGTAAGATTAAGGACAATACATATGATCTTCAGACAGACTGCTGATTGTAATCTGGAATGTTTAGTTCTGCTTGTTTTTGGCAGTGCTAGTTAATATGGATTAAAACATGTAAATTATTTTGTAACATTCTAAATGTCTGTATACAAACAGCAAAATTTTCTGAGAGGCACTGAAGCCGTTAAAGATTATGTGGACTAAGAATCTAACAAAAGAACTAAATGAATAAAAATCCAAGTTCTGCACAAATTTTGCGTAGTGACACTTGATTTCAGTTTAGCTTGCTAGCTTCATCTGTCCATTTGGAAAACAAAATTGGTAACACTTTTTGGCCAAATCATGAACTGGCTTTGAAGTGCCCTTTAAAGGGCCAATTTAAACCATGTTATAAACAAACATTTCTTTACTTGTGGTATTAAAAACACCTTAGACCGTTAAAAGTGAAATAATTTTAAAAATCTGTTCACTCACTAGTGGTGCTCTTTGTTTACTATTTTCATTTCTCTCTGCTTGAATAATGCAAATCTGAAGTCAGTTATTTACTTTAGGGTCTTAGTCTGCAAACTGACCTGAAGAAGAGCTCTGTATTGCTCGAAAGCTTGCCAATTTCACCAACAGAAGTTGGTCCAATAAAAAATACTCTCACCCACCTTGTCTCTTTAATATCCTGGGACCAGCACTGCTACAACACTGCAAATCAAAAGTTAATGTCATAGTAGCATGTTAGGCACTACCAGGAGGCTCAAAAACAATTATTTTAGTCACATCTTAATTTTAAATATCAGTGCAATATTTGGCTTTGACCCTTTTTTGGAATGCTGGACAAAATGAATCTACTGTGGTGTGGTTTTTTTTAAGGTCCCCAAGGAATCTTCTGATTCTCTTCCCCTCCCCCCAAACCATTACTGGTCCTCAATTTCCTCATACTGAATTATTGGTTTCTGTAATGAGTGCTGACCTGAGATTTCTTACTGCTAGATAACCATAAAAGAATCTGCATTACTGAAACTCAGGCTCGGATAATCCTCCTCATTTTTATGTATGAAGGTTATACATATAACGAAGGTTCTAACAGTAACTTTTCTCTAGTGCTCCTTCCAAAGGGATTGAATTGCAGTTTACTTAGGAGTCTTTATTCCTGGTGGGCTGCAGCCCTTTGAGAATTCCAAACCTCGCTATTCTGTTTAGAACTAGTCACTTAGTATGTGGCTATAGGAAAACCAGGTTCTGATATCTACTCCCTTCCTTCACTGGCCTTTTCATTGCAAGCTTAAGAAGGACCTTGCAGTTTGTATTAGGGTTGTTCCATTTAACCTTTTGTTATATAAAATTAAGCCTCAGTTACTTTTGCTTCTCCAGCCTTGTAATCTTCCCCATTTATTCTTTTTTTAAGGTAGACAACAAATAAACGTATATTGTAATGAGTTAAGTTTATGGAAAGAAACCTCACAGATTGGGATGTCAAATCCATCCAGGCAAAAGATTGAGTTAGTCACGTTGAAGAAATCTTAACTATGAATTTATTGTCTAAAAACTTGAATTTTAACATTCCATTCATTGTGTGTGGTATGCATACATTCTTGCATATAGGAAAGAAGCCATTACTTCTGTTCTGATGAGCACTTTAAATGGAGACAGGCTTGTACCTCTAGCTTGGTGGGGCCATGAATGAGGGTCTTTAGAAGATGTGAAAGCTTTGGAGAAAAGAACACTGCTTACCTTTAGTATAAAAAAGGTGTAGAGGCCTCCATAAATCCACCCTTGCTTCCTCACCGCTTCATCAGTTTTGCAGAACAAAAATGGACCTTTATAAAAACTAATAAGCATTATGTGCTTTAAGATAAATTTGTTTTATGCTCCTAGTTGCTAAGCAAAAATCTCTTGAGGGTCCCCTCAGTGAAATGAGGTCCAATGTTCCTGTGTGTTCCATAGGCCAGAAATTAGTGGAGTGGCACCAACTGGATGTAACTTCTTTCTTGGACCAAGTGACTGGTTTCCTGGGTGAGCATGGGCAACTGGATGGACATTCTACCAGCCCTCCCCAAAAATGTTCCCGCTCTGTAAGTATAAGGCCTTGTGGGTAGGGGGAGGGAAAGAGAAAAACAGCACATTTGTGTCTGGTCCAGTAGAACCTCTCATCCCACTGCATGGGAAATGCAAATAGACTTGTGTGAACTAACAAGTGAGTAAAAGCACAAAACATGCAGATAATGCATCAGAGAAAGTACTTTCTCTCCTTTTTGATCAGTAGTTTTGTTTTGTTCGCTACTACATAATCTGTAGTATTTGTTACAAATGTAATGGCCATAGTAATATGAGCTTTCACTACAGCATTTTGCTATTAAAATTGCTGGGTAGAAATGAGAGGTTTGTTGGATGTGAATTATGAGGTGTAAATATTAGAAAGGGTGCACTATAATTTAAATGTTGTTTATTTGATTGATGTTATGGGGGTGGGGAATTCTCTGTAGTTGGGTTTTCAACCATCTGTGGTATCTCTAACCTCTCGACCCCACACCTCCAAATAAAATAAGAACTAAGTGGTAGGGTTGGTGTCTTGGAAGGACGGACTGAAAGTAAAGGTGAGAGGAAAGTACAGGTACTTGGCACTAGTGCTTGTTCTTCCGCCACCTGGTTCACTTGTACAGGTTTCTAGAATACAATAATCCTAAAAGGAAGCTTTTTAAAAATACTCATTGTGATTTTAATGTCATGCAAAATGACTTTCAGTAAACTACTACAAATTTCAGTACTTGAGTTAATCCATGAAAAGTGTAGAATGCATAATTTCCTATTTAGATTAGTTAATCTCAATAGAATTGCCTCTTTCAAAATGATGACGCTTCTGTCGCTCTTTACACAATTGTTTTTCCTGCTAATTGTACCCCAGACCTGGATTCTTACAGTTTCCAGAGGTTTTTTTGTGAGCAACTAAACTAAAACCCAAGCACCTTGCTGTAACTTGTGCAGTAGTGAGTGATTCTTCAATATAAACTAAGCCCTGGTGAAATTTGCAAAAAACAAATTGAAGGGGTTGCAAGCAGAGGACAGAACCAAATTACTGAGTGATCTGGAAAGGCTAGGTCATCAACTAAAGAAAATTTGGGACTAGAACTGTCAACTCCTGAGCCCTGGGAGAGGGAGAGATTCATCCAGCAGCTGCACAGATCACATTAAAAGAGTGGTCCCCACAATGTGGGGCACAGCTCCTTAAGGGGGTGCAGAGGAATGTTCGTGGGAGGGGGCGCGTTAGGCCAGCCCCCACAGGGGCTGGGGAGGGAGCAATACCTACCTCCTCTCTGCCTCCTGGCTGCAGCCCTGTGTGCGGCTGCAGCCCTGTGTGCAACTGTAGACCCACCCTGGGCCACCAGCCAGTACCTGCCGGCCCGGCTGCAGCTCTGGCCCCATCCTCAGCCCCCTTACCTCCGCACCTCTCCCTCCCCCAAGAACCCTGGCCGTGGCTCCCGACTGTGCCTCCTGGGGGGTGGGAGGCAGCAGGGATAAGGGAGAGTGCTACATGAAAAGTTTGGAACCACCACATTAAAGGGAGCTTATTACGACTTGCCTCTTTATTATAGACCTTTTAGTACTTTTCCATGCAGACAAATACTGTAGCTGCCATATGGAAATCAAGAGTGAACAGTTGAAAGAGCACAGGTGATCCACCAAATTATAAAGGTTTGGGAATGATTGAAATAGACAGTATTCCATGATCAGCATTGCTTCAGAGAATATAATGGAGTTGGGGAGGGGGAGATGTCAGTTGTGGAGAATTTACGTATTTCTCAAAAAGGAGAAATACTTATGGGCTTCAAAATTGTAGAACAGCTGGCTGCCACACCATTTAATCATTACACACCTATCAGGTGTCACCTGAGAACCCTTTGTTAAAGTCCTCTAATTCCTGTTTAAAACATTTTGCTTAGTTGTTTGTTTGTTTTTTTTCATTTCTGTGTTATGGCTATATCAAACAGGAGAGCCTCATTGATGCTAGTGAGGATAGTCAGATGGAAGCTGCCATCAGGGCCTCCCTGCAGGAGACGCATTTTGATTCCTCCCAGGTCAAACAGGACAGCCGATCAGATGAGGAGTCTGAATCTGAGCTTTTCTCTGGAAGTGAGGAATTTATTTCTGTTTGTGGCTCTGATGATGATGATGATGAGTCCGAGAATCCTGCCAAGTCTAGGAAGTCTCCACACAAGGACTTAGGGTGTAGGAAAGAGGAGAGCCGGAGGCCTCCGCCTGAGCCCCCCACAAGGACTGAGCCTGGAACAACATCAAACCATCGAGTAATGTCCTGCATTGATGCTGGGATACTAGAGGAATCAGCTGACAAGCCTGACAGTGCAGTGGAGGGATTGGATGTGAATGGTGAGCTTTCCCCTTTAATCGTAACTTAATTTTTTTTAAAAAAGCTTTGCAACAGCCTTTTTATATCATCAAGCATGTTTAAGTCCTAATTTTAAGAACACTTTTTCTGTCTTTATCCTTATTTAAAGTTTGCCATTTGGATACACCCCTCTGCTTTCAGCAGCATGAAATGACGTCGCAAATCCCAAGAACCTGTTAATCACTGAACTGTAATCTGAGTTTCTATTGTTCTGAGGGCCCACCTATATTAGAGAAATTGGCATTCGTGTAATGTAGATGTGTGTAGTGAGGCTCGCACCAGTGAGGTATGCTGCACAAATGTAAGTCCATTTTGCACTTATGCAGCAAATCTGCACTCGTGTGGTTGTATCGGTGCACATTTTCCTAGTGTAGATAGACCTCAAAAGTTCCTTTCCCTCCTCCCCCCCCCGCTTTCTCTGCTGGTTGGCAGTAGGAGTACAGCAGTTTTCCACGAGACAGTGCAGCAGTGTACAAGTAGAGAGTGCACTAAAGAGAGGGGAATGGTATTCACATCAATTTGGCATGCAAATAGTTATGATGTCAGCAGAGGGCTGCACCTTAATTCCCTTTGCTGTGGTTTCCCTGTGGAGATGGGGTGGGGGAGGGGCGGTATCAGTCACTGGTTTTAACTTAATCAAAATCCCTGTTTTCTTTATTTTTTTATTTTTAAAAATACATATAACAGAAGTTCATCTTCATGGACCAAGCTTTGCAGCTCACCTTGAAGACTTTTTTTGTTAATTTCCACACTAATCCTCTTTTCCTATAGAGTGAAGTACACCATTTAAATGTACAATAAAGCTCAATTCAGATGCCCTGTTGTTAACCTGTAGCAACTTAATTTACACTAGGACCGAAGGCACAGCTGATGCTAAGGTATCCAGATGGAAAGAGGGAACAAATTTCACTGCCTGAACAAGCTAAACTTCTGGTAAGTGAAGCTAATCGGAGATCCTTGTTTGAATGGAAGAGAGCTGAAACTAGATAATACTTTTTTGTGATGGCACTATGAAATTAGATTTAACCAAAATATGAAAGTGATTGCTATACATATGGAGGGGCTTGTTCTGTCAGACTATGAGGCTTTTTCCTTGCTATATAATTATCTTCCCACATTACTCCTGAGGGCATTCTGTGCCAAAAAAATAAAAATTCTGTACCAAAAAAATTATGCGCACAATATTTTAAAATTCTGCAAAAAATTTTTGTCAAATAAATGTGGCTGCTCCAGCATGGCATTGGGGAGCACAGGGCACTGGCTGTACAGAGGTGAGAGATCACTGTGCTGCTCCCCCTGGGATACAGACTCAGCAGTGAGGCTGCACCCAATCCTGACACAGTGTAAAGACCGGGCCTGCCCCAGATACACCCCAGAGTCCTGCCCCTCTGTGACAGGTTCACCAGGTGTGGGCAGGCAGGCTCAGCAAGGCAGGATCCAAGTATGGAGGGGCTTAGTGGGGGGCGGGGATCCAGGTGTGGGTTGAGAGGGTTCTGTGTGAGGCAATCTGAGTGCGGGCAGCTCAGTGGGGGATCTGGATGCACAGGGGCTTGTTGAGGGATTCTGGATGCAATGGTAATGGGACTCTGCAGGGATGTCCAGGTGAAGGTGGTTGGGGCTCGGCGGGGGGGGGATCTAGGTGTGGATGGCTTGTCAGGGTGGTTCAGGTGCAGGGGGAATGGGGCTCATTGGGGGTGGGGGGTTCTGAGTGGATGGGGGGGTGAGGTTTGGCTGGAGGGTCTGCATATGAGGGCAACTGGATGCACAGGGGTTGGGGGAGCAGCTCCCTGTACAGGGATCCCTGCAGCTGAGGAGCAATGGTTGCAGGAAGAAAGGGGGCGGGGGAGTTTGCAGAGCTTCCTTCAGCTGGGGGATAAATCTGGGGGTGGGTCTGACCTGTCCCCAGATGCCATGCAAGGGATGAGGAAGTCCTGCCCTCCCCAGCCCAGCCAGAGCTAGCAGTTGAGCCCGGCGCAGGGTAGGAGCCACCAGCCGGGTCTTCCACAGTCCCGCCTCTTGCCTCACAGTGACTTACCTCTCTGGCGGCTGCCCTGGGCCCCTTGAAACATACTGCTGGAGAGGGTCGCAGGACAACTGTTGTGGCTTCCATGTCAGAAAGTCATTTTTCTGCGGGGAAGCAAAGAAATCTGCAGGGGACATAAATTTTGTGCATGCACAGTAGTGCAGAATCCCCCACAGAAGTACCACATGCAGACACTGCTGGTGGTTCTTTGTTCTCACTGCCACTTCCAGTCCCTATACAGGCTCCCCAGAGTCTTCCCTGGTCCTAATGCTGCTTGCTTCTTTCATACGGTAACCCTTTCTAATTAAATACCTTTTCATCTTAGCAACTTAATGCATTTTACAAACATTGTCTCATCTTACTCCAGCATTTTAGGTATTCTTTATTTTATAGTGAGCGAAACTGAGAGAAGTTGAGAGAAATTAAGTGACTTGCCCTTTGTGATAGACAGGAATAGAATACAAAACTTCTGATGCTTGGGTCCTCTTCTCTAATTTTGACTCCATATTTCCACAGCTCCCCTCTGGACATAGATAATAGAACTTTCCCCATAGTGGGATCCCCCTAACATGGGAATTTTTTGTCAACACAGTTCCTGGTGCTTTTCTGCACTGTTCCTCAGAACTGTTTACTATAGTAGGAAGGTGGTCATCTGGTAGCAATAGCATAACTCTCCCAAGTTTGAAGGCTTACTATGTTAAAAGCACTATTATACTACTAGCAACCAGTCTTGCTCATGAAGTGGGGTATGACCAGCAGTGACCCTGCAAACTGAGTAGACATAAAAGCCCTTTCTGGAATTCTCTGATGTCCTTTTGTAATAGTACAAAACTTCAGAGAGTGTTTGCTCAACTGTAGGAAGAATTGGAGGAAGATTGCTATTTATCATGCATCATTTAGCTGATACACTTTTTTAGTATGGGAGCAAGGCATGGACCTTATACTCTTATCAGGAAAAGAGGCTCAACAGCTTTCATGTGTGTTGCCTTCGTCAAATTTTTGGAATTTCCTGGAGGGACAGAGTCACCAACATTGAAGTGCTCAAGTGGGCCAGTATACCCAGCCTGCAAACACTCCTCAAATAGAGACACCTTTGCTGGCTTGGGCATATGTGCCGAATGAATGATGGGCGCATCCCAAAGGATATTCTCTATGGCAAACTGGCAGCTGGAAAAAGACCCAAAGGATGCCCAAAATTGCATTTCAAGGATGTGTACAAGCGAAACCTCAAAGAAATGGACATGGCTGTGGATAACTGCGACGATCACACTCATAACTGCAGCCTTTGGAAACGAGCTTAACAAAGGTCTCCAGAGTTATGAGAAAAAGTAGTTCAGCTTAGCAGAGGAGAAAAGAGCTCGCAGAAAGCAGAGCCCAAAGAGTTGAAACACCACCTTTAAATGTGTCAGATGCAGCAAAGATTCTCTCTTGATTGGGTCTCTTCAGCCACAGTCACGGCTGCCATAAGAATCATTACCGAGGACAGTGGTGTTGGCACAGACTGTTTCCACATTGGCGACTTATCAGGCAGCAGTGGATTTGCTGTGCCTTTCTGTTCCTGACTCTCCCCTTACTCAGGAACAGTCAACTATGGTAGCTTCCTTTTTCGATGTCTTCATCATCACCCAGACTGGTTGCAGACTTCTCATTATTGTCTGCATCATTGTCCATAGCACATCATATCCCAAGGGCAGAGTTTGTCTGCTTCCTTCTCAGTACAGAGAGGTTAACCGGCACCCATACTATCTTTGGTACTGACAACGATTGCAGTGCTGTCTATATCTGGAGGTCCGGTACCAGCTTCGACTTCAGTACCAACATCTGTTTATGCACTGCGTACGAGTGCAATCACCCATCACTACTTGAAGTGCCAGCTCATGTGCTGCTGTTGGTTCCAGTGATGCCTATATATTGGGCTTTGGATGTGACTGGCTCCGCCTAGAATTGCTCCTCCATTACCTTCAGACTACTTGGAAAGTTCTTCAAGATCAAGTTTGGAGACCTCTCCCACTCCTTCACCTTTGTATTATTGCTCTCAAAGCTTGTTGAGACATCCTGGGTTATCGCTCCTGCACTATGGATAAAGACTCTTGGCCTAGTTCCTAATGGCCACCAATGCCATACCCCAATCCACAGTGGCCTCCTTGGAACCCCTGGGAGGTTCCTCAGTTTGTGAGATCCTGATCCACAGCTCAGTCCAGGACAGGGTCGCCTGTCCCCTGGTAATCTCCCTGCCTGAGCTGTTTGTGAAGCAGTCACAGACTGAGGGGCTCTCTGAGTTGGTTCAGCTTGAGCCCTTGTTACAGACACGTGTTGCCACAGAGATTTCACTGGTTCTGCTAGTGTCCTCTTGCTTGTTACCAGATGACATTGCAGTGCCAGATTCTTCATCTCCGGTGCCTGAGGATTTTAAATCCTATCAAGATCTATTGAGACAAATGGCTTTGATGGGTATTCAGACTGAGTTTAAGGAGAAAATGCATAAGTCAGTGGATATTCATTCCTCAGCTCCAGGAAGAATGTTTCATTTATAGAGAGAGTCAGTCTTGGAACTACAAAGTCTCTGTGGACTACCTCAGCATCCTTAAAACCTACTGTGAAGTGTACTGATAAAAGGCAGTATGTCCCCCCAGGTAGGGTTTTGAGTGGTTTTTTTTTTTTTTTTTTTTTTTTTCCTCACATCTAGCCCATAATTCCATTGTTGTGATGGTGGCAAATGAAAGACTGCGTCAGAGGAGGTATAAATCCACACCAAAAGACGACAGTCTAAAAGGTTAGATTTGATGGGAAGAAAAATTTATTCAACCTCTTCATAACAAGATATGACTTAGAAAATTGCAACACTGTGTCCAAGTTTACAGATGAGTTGCCAGAATCCTCCAAGGAAGAATTGAAGGCATTCATTGCCCAAGGCTGTTTGGTGGCAAAGACTTCCTTGCAGTCGGCACTGAATGTAGCAGACCCTTTGTCCAGACTTTGTCCTCAGCTGTAATGATAACTCATGGCTGCAAAATTATGGCGTAGCTCCTGACATCCAACACAGCATAGAGGTCCATTTTCTAAGAAAACTGGTGAGACTTTACATTCATTTAAGGATTCTCATGCTACTTTGCAGTCATTGGGAGATTTGTACCCTGGCCACAAAGAGGTGTCATTATGGAGGTCATCAGCAATATCATTCATAGCAGTGCTTCCAACAGTCATCCTACCCTGCTAGGCAGCAAGAGTTCCCCAAAAAGGAACGTAAATCACAGAGGAGTCCAATTTTAATCAGTCAGCCCGCTCTCTGCTAGTTTCAGGCAGGGAGCCTAATTGACTTGCATATCAAGAGTGGCATTCCAGTTATGACATTCTCATCATATCCCTTGAATTCAGGGACAGGCTGTCTCACTTCTGCAGTCCTTGGGAAACCACTACTGAGTCCTACGCACTGGGGGATCAGGTTATGCCATCCAACTTATGTTCATTTCCCATTCCTACCTCCCTACCCCATCCCTTTTCAGGGACATCTCTCACAAGTCCAGACTCTGTGCGCTTTGGGAGCTATAGAGGAAGTTCCTCCTTCAGCATTGGCAAGAGGAATTCTATTTCCTGATCTTCAAATCTAAGGGAGGGCTGAGATCTATTCTCAATCTTCCAAGTCTCAACAAACTAATGAGATTCTGCATGGTAACCCTAGCTACAATCCCTTCCTACATTGAGAGCAATATACCAAGTAATTGTGATCCACTCTTCAGGCTGCCTACTTCCATGTGGCAATTTTCCCAGCCCACTGGAAGTTTGAGATTTGTACTGGCAGGTCGTCGTCATCAATTCACAGTGCTCCCTTTGAGGCTGAAGATAGGCCAACACATGACTCCTCTACCACGTCCAGTTCACCCGTCATCTTTTTGATCAGCTAGGTCTGATT